ATGCGTCCGGAAAAGTAGGCGAAAAATACATCTATAGAGGTTAACACCGTGTTGTACACTGGCGATTTGTTAAACATAAGCCTTAAATGATAAACATGTAAAGATAAGTTAACTTACGTGCACTCATATTTTGTGAGAATGTATTTCAGATTTTCGAGGTACGCTTCTGGGGAAAACGTACGATTTCCTGATTGCATTCGCAGTTCCGAGACCACATCTCGCATAGTTTCATTTTTTATTTGAGAGCAGAGTTCCGCGTTTTTTTCTTGCTCCCGCAGACAGCCATCTTTGTGCTTGAAAAATACTACGACGAAGTACAAAAAGAAATTAACTTGCTTACCAGTTCTACTGCATTAAGCATTTATATTTGTAAAAAACAGTCCCTTGTGATTATGTTAAATATTCCGAAATAAAAACAGTCACGTCCAGGTAAAATGCTAGTTTTAGAAGTGTTTTTAAAAATCAGCCGCTCATTTGAGTCCCAGGAAGTAATTAAGAAGAAGCGATCACTGAGACAAACATATTTTCGCCCAAGATTTCGAAGTCCGCCACGAATTCTTCATCAGACATTAGCATAAACTGTTTCTGTTACGGTTTATGCTAATGTGTTTGATGTAACATCCGCGACGGATTTTAGAACTTCAGGCGAATAAGCGTTTGGTCCAGGGATCGCGTCTTCTTCGTATCAGCCTTTCATACTTAAACATGGAACATTGTAGAAGTGATCATTTCAGTTCCTTTGCGTGCCCTGCATGAGGGTTAAAGATTCATGTCAACTGTGACCAATAATAATAAGTTTTCATTCAGCTGCTGTTTTTGCTTCGGTTCAAATTTTAGGTAGGCCGTCTGCTAGCGTCTGAAATAAACATCCAATAATTTTTATGGGCAAAGATGAAGCAAAGACATAAATGTTGCACTTTCGGCTTCTTATATATGTGGTAGATTACTTTACTATTTAACCGGGAGCCGCCCACTGCATGTCTTTTTTTCAAAATAATTAGTACTGGATCCCATTTGGCGCATATTATGGGCATCGGCCGTTGACAAGGTGAATATACTGACTAACTGCGCAGTAATTTCAGAATCCAGGGGCAGTACTTTTGAAATGGTAATTTTTGCTTCAAGTACCTGCCGTAAACGTCCCATGAATTTGACGAATTTAGGTAGGCTTCCGCGTTCGCGGCAGCGCCATAAATGTCACATTAAGAAGGAGCCATTGCAGCCTAACTCTCAGTCCTCAATCTCCTCTCATATGCACACACAAGCACACGCGTACAAGAGGAGCAGCAACGTATGTGGCTCGAGTTTTCCCATCAGTTGGCAAACCCTCCAGGTCACGGTTTGTAGCGCATCGTGATAGATTTAAGCGCATACATATTATAGTGAGGAGAGCAGCGCGCTGGGGGTCAACCTCACTATCTCCCCCACCGTCTAGCGACCGTCTAGCTGCTCGGACACCAGAGGTGGTACCTGAAACCCAGTGGGAGCACGAACGCATGCACCGACAGGGAATCAGAACCG